AGAGGAAGACCCCCAAATAGATGGATGGGCACAGTAGTCGCGGCAGTGGGTACATGCAAACACAGAACAATTGTGCAGATGGCTCAGGGCTGGGCAGTGTTTTGTTCTGTTGTACACAGGGTCTCTGAGTCGGAACTGATTTGATGGCACATAACAACAACAACAATCCTTATGGGAACAGATTATCAAGTCTTTCTCCCATGGAACTGCTGAGGGGTTCGACAAACCTAACTTTTGCTTAGGAGCCAAGCGCTTAAGCACTGTGCCACCAGGCTTCCTCCATTGAAATAAAGTTGATGATGGCACCTGATACCGACAAACAGAAATTTTATAATAAAACACATCTGAAAATTCATCCAACTTTATTGACCAATATTACTGATAAGATTATTATTAAGGAGAACCACAAGATAGTTATGGTTAGGTAAGGAACAGCAACAAAAAAGATTATTTAAAAAAAAAATCCGCACAGCTTCCAGCTTCTACCTGATTCAGGAATGTGCCTTTAATACTCACGTCTGAATACGAACATGCGTGATACCACAAAAGCTCATGGGAGAGCTGAGGTCTCGGTTCCCGACACCTCTCCATGCCAAAGCCAGAAGCTTACCCTGTCTGACTGGTGAGCGGTTGTCTTTGCCCACCCCTGACCATATTCCATGTGTTTTCATATTACTTAGAAGATTTTCATCTCCAACATTTCAACAGCATCTTCTAGGAAACTTAGGCAGCTGCCTTCTCTCAAAACACCTGAACTATGGATTATTGGTTACAATTACTTTGGATGAAATTATTAAATAAGCGGCTGGTAATGCTGACTACACATTTCTAGAAATAGAAAATATTATGTATGATTTTCAATAGAAAACCAACTTATGACATAGGCTTAATATTTGACAAGGCAGCAGGCAAAATCCCGAAATGTGCAGGTGGTATCCATCTAAAGAAGCAAAGCCAATCCAAGATAGCACCACGTAAGTTACTTTTATTCCAAAGATCCTGAAACATTAAGAATAATGGAATTCTTTTTTCAAAATTGGTTTTAAAAACCAGTAGTAGCCAAATGTCAAAATTTGTCTCTCTGACTCACTTTTTTTTGTTTTTTGGCAAAACCTTTTGGTTTTACTTTTTTCATCCTGATTTGCATACCAGGCTGGCTACAAGTGACTCATGGTGGTTGGTTGGTTGGTGATGTGCCGTGGAGTCGATCGTGACTCAGAGCAACCCTGCACAGGGTTTCTGAGGCTGTAAATCTTTACAGGAGCAGAAAGCCTCATCTTTCTCCCGTGGAACTGCTGGCAGTTTCAAACTGCTGACCTTTAAGTTTGCAGCCTGATTCGTAACCACTACACTACCAAGTGACTCACAGTTTTGTCTAAAATTCAACAGTATTAGCAAAGGGAAATGATTTCCCACAAAAGCACTAAAGATAAGCCCCCAAATTCTGAGCAACAGAAATCAGAGCTTTGAAATAAAGCTATGATGTCCTCAAGTTACTCATTTGACTGGTAAATTCTGTTATGTGTGCCAGATGATACAGAAATCAACCCAAAACACCTCCCAAAGTCTGCTTTAAACCAAACAACAGTTTAGTGTAACCAATAAAGCAGGTCTGCCTTGAACCTTATGTTCTTCTCAGAACTATGTGGAGTCCTGGTGCGGTGCTGGGGGAGAAGGCACTGGACTGCAAGGCCAGTGGTTCAAACTTCGATTCAGAGCTGACTCAATGGTACTTATCAAGCTGACAAAGGTCGGCTGGGGGCCTTCGAATCACTTCTGACTCACAGCGACCCTGGACGTACAGGGTTTCCAAGGTTGTCAGTCTTTATGGGAGAAGAAAGCCTCATCTGTCTCCCAGGGAGAGGCTGGTGGGCCTCGAACTACTAATCTTGTGGCTAGCAGCCTAATGCGTTACCCACTATTCCAAAAGTCAAAAACAGGAAGGTTAGGGGCCAGAGAGTAGATGTGAATGGGCGGGTGACAATGGATACAACACTGAGAAAGAACGAATGTCATCGTGTCACTGGGAAATCACTGAGTTGGCATATGTTCAGTTGTGTGCCCTTTCAACAATAGCAATAAAATAAGTTTAGAAAATGAGAACAAAAATTTACAAGCAAAATTTTCATTGCAGTATGATGGACAAAAGAAAAACCTGTAGCAAGCTAAAAAAAACCCTGAAATAAAACAGTAAAATATTACATTGTTCTCACCTTATACTTGCCTTGATTCTAACTGAACACCCACACTCATTTTTCAGAGGTGAGCTACCTTTGAAAATCACAATGAGCTAAGTGTGGGGGACAGTAAGCAAGTGCATTGTGTGTGAGACTCTGTGTGTATGAGTGAGAAATGGAGTATGTTTGTGAAAATGTGTGTGTATTTATGACAGTGTGAGTGTATAAATGTGTGAGAATTTGTGTGTGAGGAACTGTGTGTGAGTAATTTGTGTGTGAGGAATTGTGTGTGAGAACTTGTGTGTGAATGTGTGAGGAATTGTGTGTGAGAACTTGTGTGTGAATATGTGAGGAATTGTGTGTGAGAATTTATGTGTGAATGTGTGAGGAATTATGTGTGAGTGTGTGAGGAATTGTGTGTGAGAATATGTGAGGAATTGTGAGTGTATTTGAGAGAGTGAGTTTTAGGAGTATGTTTGCATGCATGAGCACACATGAGTGTGACAGAAAGTGTGCGTGAGAGTATATGAGTGTGCAAAAGTGAAAAACTGTGTGAGTGTGTGCGTTTTGAGTGTATTAGATTATGGGCAAGAGTGTGTGTAAGAGCATGTTTGTAAGAGTGTGTGTGTGAGAGACAGTGTGTTCGGGGCTGAGCTCCCAAAACATCACAAGACAGACACAGATTTCATTAACACTCCTCACATCACATTTTCATGTGGCCTTTTTGTATGACCACATCTGATTGTCAGGCTGATCATACCTCCTCCTGCCTCTAGGCACCCCTCAGAGGTGGAGGTGCTGAGTATAGTTAACACCAAACTCATCCTTCCCACAAAGCCTCCCCAGGGCCACAGATGTTACAGAAAGCAGCCTCCACTTCCCCCCAAATTACTGTGTTGTCTCGGGTTGGAACGTTCATGAAATGATTGGTGACTAGCGGGGTCATTTAATACAGATCAGGTCCCTGGACGGGGCTCCTCAGCAGGCATGCCTAGTAGCTTTCTAACTTGTGTCTGAGACACAGAATATGGCCCTCTGATGTCTCTTGTGTTCATGAAACCAGAGTGCACACAGACATTAGCTAGGCTGCTGCGTGCTGGGTGTGTGTGTGTGTGTGTACCACCGCTGAAGCTTTTCTAGCCTGAGCTACACAGAGAAGTTGAGACTGTGCTCCCACACGGCAAGTGGTGAGCAGCCGGCAGGCAGGGTGGCAGGAGAGCCAGATCTCCTGTGTCCTTGAGTGCAGACAAGGACACCAGCGGTGGAAGAAGCCGGCCAATGTACTCTCATGCAATGAGCCTCCACCCCAACAGGGGGCGCTGCCTGTGAGCCTGGCGCTGGGTGCCCTGAGAGTATGGAGGCCTTGTTTTCATTAGACAGTTAACCCCAATGCTAACCATTCTTTATTTCCGCAAGATGGCAATGACAAATAGCCTCCTCTCTGAGAGTACCTGGTAAGCGCATTCTCACCACCTGCCTGTGGGCTTCCTGTGCAAACCAAATTCACACTGAACAGGAATGTTTTGTTAAAGATGTTTCAGATTCCTTTCCATTCTTAAAAATCCAAGGGAGACAGAAGACCTCAAACACGTGTTTTTGTTACCCTAATTTTGGTGTGTGCTTTCCACTCTAGTGAGAAGAAAGGGTTCTAATCTGTCCCTGTCTCTGGGGCCTGCCCACCATGGGTCATCTAATGTGGGTGTAGTTTTACTAATTGAATAGATTTTGCTTGAACCCTTCTAAAATGTCTCAGTGCATTTAATTGGAAAATACACTGACTCAGTTAAAATGAGGTCTGGTCTGTTCATGAAAGTAAGTAGCTTGTGAAATACTTTATTTTCCTCTGATTAAAAATTCCACTTCATAATTCCCAATAAGAATGGTTTGAAACTAGTTATTAGCACAAGTTAAACTTGTTTGGCCATGTTCATAGGAAAAAGGCAAAATAGCTTTATTCACCAACCTGAGGCTGTCCCTCTCTTTGAAGGCAGCTCTGAAGTTGAGTTCGATTTTGGAGGAGACTTATTTAACTATGGGGGTGGAGCAGCGTGCTTTGGGCTGGTAGGTGGCAAAGTGTAGGAGGGTCCCTGAAGGGCATTCTTAGTTGGTTCCCACTGAAAAGGTACAGAAAAGCCTCAAAAAAGACAATCCAGTTTCTGAAAACAAACAGCATTTTCTAAGACTTGTGATGTCACAGAAAAAAGCGAGTGAGAGGGGCCAGGGGTGCCTGGGAAGAGAGAGTAGTTTTAGGAGAAAAGAACACACTATGAGTAGGGAGTGAATCCCTTCATATTTTGGCCTTAAAATATGGATTTTTTTAAAAAATGCACTTAAGTGGCCCCTGTGAATGGTAAGCTACTGACTAGCTTTTTTGGGTGTGTTAATTACACAGTCATGATAATCACTTGGTTGCTCCAAGCAGGCCATACCCAGAGAAGGACTTTATGCTTAAGATGGAGAATCCATGACAAAGAGACAGACCTTCACTGAAGTAAGTACGTTGGCATGGTGACTTAATGAGCACAGGACCGGACAGGGCTTTGTTCTGTTGCACACAGGGTCGCTATGAGTTGGAAATGTTGTGATGGCACCTCACAATACAACAACAACAACAATACCAAGATGGGAGCTGTTAGTAAGCTGCATTTTAGAGTCTGGGAAGGAAATCTTTCAAGGGCCCTTGTCTTCAGTTTGCCTCTGGCATACACATGACTTTCTCAACATTTAGTACACATGTTCTCGAGCCTTCTTTACGACCGCAGTTGTCAGGGTGTTAATGGGACACTTCAGTGGCTACAATAAAACAGCGGCAAAAACACCTACTGGATTGTTGCTGGCTTTTCCTGCAAGGATGACTCTGGCTTTGACCTTGTTCATGTTAAAGTTCTTCAAGTAGGCCTCATAAATTCTCTTGGCAAGAGATTTGAGATCTGCAGTTTCAGAATCTTCTACATCATGGTCACATGTAAGAATTTCTGCTTTCAATTTTGCTTTTTCGGACCTTGGCATTCGTCCAAAACGAATTGCTGGGGGGTGAAGGGGGGGGAGATGGAATAATGGGAAACAAACAGAAATGAACAACACCACAGTGGTGGAGGCAGTACAAACGATGACTAATGGTTGAATGACAAGCTCAAACCATGAGTTAAACTAACTAATGAAACAAGCTACAGGAAAGGTAAAATTCATTTCTCATTGCTAGTCAACATCCCCTTACAGGAAAAAAGGAAAAATCTCCATAAATCGTATATATATTCTTTTTCTACAAAAGTTTAAAAGGTTAACACCATTATTCATTCCCCTTGTGGTGCTGTAGGATAAGCACTAGACTGCTAATCACAAGGTCCACAGTTCCATGTCACCAGCTGTTCCATGGGAGAAAGATGAGGCTTTCTGCTCCCATAAAGATTTACAGCCTTGGAAACGCTGTACAGGGTCGCTGTGAGTTGGAACCGACTTTTGGGTACATAATTGATCCTTTAAGTTAAGAGGATGAATCTACAAAATAACACTTTTTCTTTTTCCAGCAGATATGGATGTAATTCTAGTGAACTAATTATTTTACATTTTGCTTCACATAGTCATTTGTGATTGTTAGTTACCAGAAAGTGTATCTTCTGACTCATGTGACACCATTTGTGTACAGCAGAATTGCTCCAGTAGAATTGCATTAAAGGGGTTTCAAGGCTGTGACGTCTCAGAAGCAGATAAGCATGCCTGTCTCCCAAGGTGCCTTCTGGGTGGGTTAGAACCTCCAACCTTTCAGCTAGTAGTCTAGTGCTTAACCACTTGCACCACCCCAGAATTCCAACACACATCACCTTCTACAATTAGTGCATGAAAGAAAATAATTGAATTTATAATATGAGGGAACTTCAAAAAGTTTGTAGAAAAATTCCATTATCTTTTCATTCCATTTTTCCAAGAATTTTTTGAAGTCCCCTTGTATAGCAAAATGTTCAGCATGACACACACTTCCTAAGTAGGATCTGAACATCACATGATCCTGTGATTTCCAATTGGTTTCAGAATCTTCACCAAGCTCTTACCATTAGAGGTGCCAACGATAATTCCAAGCTCTTTGAGATTTCCACCGTCTTAGGTGGTTACGATTATAAAACGATCAAGGCATTCAACATGAGACCACAGTTATTTTAAATCCATCCTCTCTCACCCCGCGCCCCCTGCCCCTCGAACAGGGAGGGCGGGCAGAGGGATGGACGGGGAGGAAAGGTACTGGTCTTACCTACCGTTATGTGACATCCCCACCGAAAGGCACTTGTGGAAACGACAATATTGGCACTTGTTTCGATTCTTTTTCTGAATCTTGCAACTACGATCACATTTGTCGTAAACCAGCTTTAGCCGAATGGTTCGACGAAAAAAACCCTGTGAGGTAAACGTACGGTAGATTAGAGGTCATGGGCCACCTGTCACTCATGGCCTTATTCCTAATGCTGGTCTCTCCTGATAGGAATGACATTTGGAGAATTAGTTCTTCCAACAAAGCTGATGTCAAGACAAACTGAACATCTTGAATTTATTAACACTGGAGGAAAGAAAATAACGTGGCTTACTGCAAAGTAATTTCAATATGTCTATCTGACTTCTTGTAATTGTTAATTGCCATCGAGTTGGTTTTGCTCACAGCAAACCTGTATAGGTTTTCCAAGGACTGGCTGATAGGTATGAACTGCTGACCTTGTGGCGAGCATCTGGGGCTACACTTAAGCAGGAACTATGACAGTTTTCCAAAGAATTCCTTAGCCCCAAAATAAGATTTAAAACAAACGCAACTTTTTCCTGTTATGTGACACAGCCTTATGTGTGATTAAAACTTTCTAGAAAATTCTGAAGAAGAATATTAATTCCCTAGAAAAACAAATTAAACTCATGTAGGAGTTTCTACTTGCTCTGAGTTGGTTCCAACGCTATGAGTCAGAGCTGGCAGCACGTGACAACAACCTTCCTATCAGGAGTCCTGGTTTGGTTCTGTAGGATCAGCACTGGACTGCCAACACCGTAAGGCAGGCAGTTCAAACCCACCAGCCATTCTTCATAAAACAGCTGCTGGGTTTGAACTGGTGATCTTGCTGTTACCAGTCCAGTGCTGATCCCACAGCGCCACATTTAGAATGGGGGGGTCAGAATGGCTCCATAGCCATTCATTAATGTCAATGAATTGAAAATACACAATTGTTGAATTGTTGTATGTTTTGCTATGTGTATTTTCAGCATCAAATAAAAAAATTTTTTTTATAAACTTAAAATAAAAAAAAAGCCAAAACCAGTATAAACTCCTTCATGAGTTTCCTAACCATATGCTTTATAGTAAATCTAATTCATTTTCTGCAGGATTATGATCTAAAATCTTATGTTCAGTTTTGGTTTTGTAGACTTCATAATAAAGCTACTCATAACTGGGTAAATGTTAAGATTCTCTTATAAAGCAAAAAAATTATTCACAAAAAAAGTGGATTTCTTTTCACTTTGTTTTTTAAGAAGACTTCAGTGGATAGTTTTGGTTTGTGGTTTAAAGATGATCTCAGGGCAATAGTTTAGGGAGTCATAGAGCTTCAATGGTTTCAGAAAGTCTAAATTCCATTAGATCTTGAAATTCTGTTACACATTTCCCCCTTTTGATCAGGATTCTATAGAATCCTTGATAAACATGTCCAGTAAAGGTTTGCTTTGGAATTTTGCCCTCTTTGCTTTTAAACCATTCTGGCTGACCTACATGAGGAGACAGCAGTTTCTTGGCATGAAAGAAGGTTGATATCCTCGCAAGCTTGGTGGTTCAAGCTCACCAGCTGTTCCTCGGAAACCCTATACGGGGTTGCTATGAGTTGGAACCAACTTGACGGCATTCAACAACAGTAACAACATAAAGGAGGTTGGCCCAGAACCTAAGGGATTAGAAGAGGAAGGGTGAGAAGAGAGAACCTTTAGCCTGACGGTACAGGATGTTCCGGCTAAAGTGGTGATTCTACCTGCCGGCCAGGCGTTGGGAACCAGGTTTGGGGTCAGGGAAAATGTGTGCTGTGGCATTTCCCAAAAGTCACTGTACTCTTCGACACCCAGCAGGAGCAATGGTGGGCATTTCTGACTTGAACCAAACGTCTAGATGGGCTACGCTGCCTGTATATTTTGTACATAAAGCACCTAAGCTGTAAAAGGAACAGAATATTCAAAGCCTGTGACCCAGAAGACATCAGGGATGCAATAGAGTGTGCGATTCTCCTCATCCTTGTGCTGGTAAACCACAGGGGGATCAATGGTGCCATGACCAGACCAGAGATTCAACCTCGTGGACTCAGGATCCAGAGGTCTGGTCTGGGGTCCGGCAGCTCTTCTCACGAATTAGTATGAGGCAGATGCACATGTGTGGTCCCCAGCTCTGGGGGAGTGGTCCTAGATGTGCATGGAAGAACAGTCAGAGGGTCGGGATGTGTCAAGGTTCAGCTGTGGGCTCTGTCCTGGCCTGGCTGTCTTCTGTGGGGTCCTGAACATGGTACTACATCTGGAGGATCTGGAGGATCCGGAGAGAAAACGGGCAAAGGCTCTTTGATTTTGTATACACATGAAGGGCTTGTTTGTAATGTCGTGTATTTGTTTTCACACCTTACTGTGGCGTTGCAAGATCTGTACTGAACTGCTAACCACAAGGACGGTGGTTCAAACCCACAAACCACTCCTTGGAAACCCTATAGAGGGCTGCTCTGAGTCAGAACTGACTCGATGACACTTCACAACGTCAGTTATTCACAAAGCATCTGTAGAGAGAAGTGGCTCTTTCAGGCTGGTGTCCTATCAATGACTTTTAGCAGACGTCTTTTGCAATGACAGACATTTGCATATATGCTAAAAGGCAATCCCCAAGAGACACTGGGACCGCCACCCCCTTCTCCTCTGGGGTGCAATGTACCTTGCAGCCTTCGCAGGCGTGCACCCCATAGTGGTAGCCGGAGGCCTTGTCCCCGCAGATCCTGCACTCAATGTTCAGTGCTCCGCTGGGTGGCTCCTCAGCACTGCCAGGAACCACAGGATAGTTAACAGACGAAGGGCTGGAAGCTGGGGAGAGAGTATCTGGGGAAGAGAGGATAGAGCCGTGTGTCTTCAAGGAACTGCCGTCCTGCGTCTAGTCCAGGCTGAAGAGAAAAAAGACTTTGCGCATGAGGTATGTGGCGTATGAGGGAGGCAGCTCGTCTGCAGTGGGTCCATCCTCTCCTTTGTCCTTGCCCCTCTGACTGCTGTTGAGTGGACAACCCTAAAGCCCACATGTTCTTGTTCCTGTTGAGCTACCTCCTGGGTTTTGGGTCAGAATCTGTGGTGGTCTCACAGATACCTCTACCTGAGGGGCTCCCTCAGTCCCCCTGCCTGCCCTGACATGCCCCACACAGGATTCATGCTTGCTTCATTCGCTCAGCTCCTAGGCTGAGCGAATTATTAACTCAGCAAACGGCACCAGAACAAAGTCTAACAACCCATGTGGGCAACGCCAGAAGAACTATCCATGAATAGAAAAGAAAAAAAGTGAAGTTGAACTTTATCAAAATGAAAAATGTCTACTTTGCAAAGGACACTGTGAAGAATGAAAAATTAAGTCATTGGCTTCTTGTTGCTAAGTGCGGTTGAGTTGGTTCAGCCTCATAGCAACCGACCCTATCTAGGGTTTCTGAGGAGCTGCTGGTGGGCTTCAACCGTCGACCTTGCAGTTAGCAGCCCAAACCAGGACTCCAAAACTACAATTTACTATATGGAAACACACAGGATGAGATTAGGGGCAGATTAGACACTGCAGAAGAAGAGACTTGGAGAGACTCCTAAACTTGAAGACAGCAAAAGGAACTGCTCCAAACAAAACACTGTCAAACGGACTGGGGAAGGAGGCAAAGAATGCAGTTCTAGTGAACAACAGGATAGCCATGAAGTGGTCAAATGCACATACAACTGAAGTTACCAAAAGCGTGAGGAAGACGGGAGAACAGGGAAATACTTAACATTTTCCAAATTTGATAAAAACAACAGACTCCCTGATGCCAGAAGCTCAATGAATCTCAAGCACCACCACAAAAGACATGAAAAAAGCATGAAAGCATATTATAATAGAACTACTTAAAATCAATCATAAAGAGAAAGGCATCATGCTTGGTAAAGTGGAGGGTCAGTGAGACAGAGGAAGACCTCCAATGAAACGGATTGGCACCCTGGCAGCCCCAAAGATTGTGGGGCTGGTGCAGGACCGTTCTGTTGTGCATAAGGTCGTTACAGGTGGGAACCGACTCGACGGCACCTTACAACAAGTGATAAAAAACAGATTTTCAGGCAGACAACTAAAAAGGACAAAAATGGGGAAGGCAGCAAATGTCCTGTTAGCAAAGTAGCAGAGAGTGGGCTGAATTTTAAAGCAGCGATGGAGGGCGGGAGGACCCGTCAATCTAGAATTATATACCCCTTGTAAATATCTTTAATAAAGGAAGGCAAAAAGGAAGATCTTTTCAGACACAGAGACACTGAAAGAATTAGTAACCAGCAGACTGGCATTACAAGAAATCTTTTAAGTCAGAAGAAGAATGACAACAGATAGAAACCTGGATTTATAGCAAGGAATAACAAATACAAGAAAAGGTACTTATGTGGATTGTGTTGTTATTTGCTACAAGTTGGTTCTGGCTCATAGTGACCCAACGTGCACCAGAATGAAATACTGCCCGGTCCTGTGCCAGCCCCACAATCTTGCCTATGTTTGAACCCGCTGTTGTATGCCCTCCAACCTGAGGGGCTCATCTTCTGGCACCGTACCAGACAGTTTGCAGTGGCCAATCGCTGGAAACGGAATGGCCTGCCTCTTCCTTCTTCCTAGTCTACCCTAATCTGGAAGCTGAGAACTGTCCACAAGGGTGACCCTGCTGGTATCTGAAATACCAGCACCACAGCAAGATGCAAACCACCACAGGATGACAAACTGACAGATGAATGGTGGGTTCTGTGAGTAAATATAAGAATGATTTTATTATTTAAATCTCTTAGAAAGATAATGGACTGTGTAGAGCAAAAATAATAGTGTATCTTGTGAGGCTTGTAACACAGTTTAGAAATAAAAATTATATGACAACGATACCGCAGAAGCCCAGAGGGGCAAAGCAGCAGAATGTTGCTGTGAGGTTCTTACACCATGCACAAAGTGGTTATTACTTCCACATCACTAGAAACCCTAAAGCCACCACTAAACTAGATAAAGTAAGCAAAGAATATCCAAGGAAAGCTCAAAAAAAATTCAATTAATCCAAGACAGAAAAATAGGAACTAGGGGACAATATTCAGATGGGCCCAAAAGAGGACAAATTGTAAGACAACAGGTTTAAATTACACCATAATATAAAGCTATAATTAGGGTAAAAGCAAAAGACTAGAAAAAGATATACCATATAAATACCTGTCAAAAGAAAGCTACAGTGGCTATATTAAAATCAGACAAAGTAGTGTATAGAACAAAGTAAAGGGGCCAGTTCATCAACAGGATATTGTTGTGATGTGCCATCGAGTCAGTACTGACTCAGTGAGCCTCGACAGAGTTTCTAAGGAGCGGCTGGTGGGTTTGAACCACCGACCTTGCAGTTAGCAGTGCAGAGCTTATTCTATAATGCCATACACCAGAACTCCCAAGAGGATATGCAGCAATCCCAAATGTGTATGGACCTAGTAACAAAGCTTCAAAATGCGTAAAGCAAAAGTAGACAGACGTGAGAGCACAAATAGACAAGCCCACGATTACAACCGGAGATTTCAACATCCCTCTCTCAACAACTGAGGAAAGAAGGCAGAGCGTAGTAAAAATATGGACTATTTGAAAAACAGTATCAATCAATTTGATCTAATTGACATTTGTACATGGAACACTCCATTTAATAACAGGAGAAAATATATTCTTTCCAAGGATATACACAACACTGACCAAGATAGGATTTTTCTAGGCCATCATACAAGTCTCGATAAATTTTCAAAGGTTTAAAGTATAGCAAGTTTTCTCACCACAATGAAATCACAGTAGATACTAATAACAGAAACAGATTATGGAAAACGCTCAAGTATTTGGAAAGCCCACAATGCACTTTTAATTTGAAAAGTCAATTATTCATGGGTTTAAGGAAATCAAAAAGTATTCTGAAATGAATGGAACTGAAGATGAATTAAGTATCTGTGGTAGCAGAGTCAGTGGCGTGGCCACAGAGGACTAGAGTGGAAAGGGAAGCGTCCAGCTGATAGGAAGAGAGGGTATATGCACAAGAACACCCACACTTACAGAAAATACCCAGTTGACCTGGCCCTGGTGACTGGATGATCAGAGCTCAACCAGGAGATGAAAGAAGAGGAAAAAAAGAGTAAACTGATACAATTTGACCAATACCTATGGATGCAGTAACTCAAAAGAGGGAACAAATCCTTACAGCAAGAATCATTCCCACCCCCTCCACACACAGAGTAGACAGAGATGGGCAACTTGGACATTGGCTACCCAAATGGGGGAGGGGGGGACGACTACAAAGGCAAGACGTGACTGGCTTACAAGCTTTCAAGAGGGGACCTAGAGCCAGGGGGCCTGGAGGAAGGCAGACTCTCCAGTGAGTAGTATCTGTCTAGGCGGAGCTGATGAAATGAAATACAGATGGGTCTCTTGTGATACAATAGTGAATAACTGTCATCAGGACTGATTGTGAGGGTTGGAAATGTAAAGGTAGATGTTTTATAGCAAGGAAGGGAGTGATTAACTCTCCAGTCTAGGAGCGGAGGTCCCTAGGACCATCAAGGGAGAAGAGCTGAGAGAGGGACCCTACCCAGAGAAGCAGAGATAGAGGCAGAGACAATGACGTGGAATGATGAAGTGGCTGGGGACTTTGGATCCAGAGAGGGAGAGGGACTGTGTGCTGAAGACTGGGGGTGGGGTGGGGGGGGGGGGGGGAGTATAGGTATACCCTTTGGTTGGTTGATGATGCATGGAGGGGATTGGAACCATGGCAATGAAATGATATACAATAAAATGAATGTAAAACTAATGTTCTCTCATGTAAACTATCACATAATTCACAATAAAACATTAAAAAAAAAATCTGTGGTAGATGCTAAATGAATACATAGTTGGAAATGTGTAACACTAAAGGTCTAGAAAAGGAAAAAAAAAAAAAAAACTTTCAAAGCAATGACCTCTAATATCTTGAATGTTGTTGTTGTTAAGTGCCATTGAGTTGGTTGTAACCCATAGCCACCCTGTATATAGGGTTTCTGAGGAGCAGCTGGTGAGCTTGAACCACTGACCTTGCAGTTCATATGGCTTTGCAGTCCGGCATGTTAACCCACAGCACCACAGCAGGACTAGAAGAATTAATGCTTTTGAGTTATGGTGTTGGAGAATATTGAAAGTGTAGTCAGAGTGCTCCTTGGAGGCCAGGATGGCCACACTTCGTCTCTCATACTTCGGACAATTCATATTGTCAGGAGGGACCAGTCTCTGGAGAAGGATAGCATGTTTGGTAAGGTGGAGGGTCAGAGAAAAGGAAGAAGACCCCCAGTGAGATGGATTGGCAAAGTGGCAGCATCAATGGGCTGAAGAGTGGTTAACAATTGTGAGATTGGCCCAGGACCGGGCAGTGTTTCGTTCTGTTGTGCACAGGGGTCACTAGGGGTCGGTATTGACTCAATAGAGCACCTACCAACAGTATCTTGAATGGTGTCCTGCTGTGGCGCTGTGGGACTGCAATAGCGGTTTGAATCTCAAAACCAATGGTTCAAGCTCACCTATGCAGGGTCACTGTGAGTCAGAACTGACTCGATGGCACTTAATAACAACAACAACAACAACAACATCTTGACTACGACTTCTGGTGTGGTACTGTAGGATCAGCCCTGGACTGTAAACCAAAAGGTCAGCATTTCAAACTTACTTGCTGCTCCTTAGAAACCCAATACAGGTCGCTATGAGTTGGAACTGACTTAACCGCAAGGTCACCAGTTTGAAACTACCAGCTAGAAAGATGAGGCTTTCTGCTCTTGTAAAGATTTACAGCCTCGGAAACCCTGTACAGGGTCGCTATGGGTCGGAACCGACTTGACGGCACTTCACAATGACATCTTGAATTTGAATTTCTCTAATTTTTTATAAATTGCAGTCTATTGGTCTTTCATATTCTAGCTATTATTTGTCATTAAATACTTCATGTTTTTGATGCTACTATATAAATGCTATATTTTTATTTCACCATATGCTTGTTCACTGGTATAGACAGAAAGGTGATTTCTCTATACTGAATTTCTCTACACCTTCTCAGGAGGGCACTGGGATGTGAACACTGTTAGTCACTTGTACAATAGTGCATGTTCATCTTCACTAATAAAACGCCACAATGTCTGGTCTTTGAGATCTGACAGAAATGGAATTCTACTGAATCCATCCTTCTTAAACGGGTTTATTTTCATTCCCCATTGTTTTTCAGGTGGGTTCATGTAGATGCAAGAGGAGTGCGATCCTGGGGGCAGTGGTGGTTCCATGATAGAATTCTCTCCCTTCATGTGGGCCATGAAGGTTTGAGTCTCAGCCGCCTCATGCGCACTTGCTAACTGGAGGTCATGGAGGCTTGAGTGTCACTACCTTCTAAACACGTCTCAGTGGAGGTCTTCCAGACTAAGACACATACACAAGAAACACCCGATGATCTACTGTAGGAAATCAGCCCATGAAAATCCTATGAGGGTGACAAGGTCCGATCTGTAAGACATCACTCTTCCACTGTCCACGGAACCTCCATGATGTGGGGCCACCTTCATGGCAGCCAACCACAGTGGTTCCACTCTATGAATCTCACAATGTATCCATTTGTCTCTGATGAACACTTCACCTGTCTTTGGTTCCAGCTCAAAGGTGTATCCTCACATACACCTCCTCGTATACAGCGGGGGTCTCTCTGGACTTGTGAGTACTCTCCCCATACCCTCTCCATACAGGGTTTGTCAGTGAACACGCCCCCAGCTTCACCGAAGCTAGAGCGCACTCATCCAGATGAGCTTCTTGGCGTTGCAATAAGCAAGAGAAGAAAGTTGGGGTGAAACACTCTCCAGGCCAAGAATCCAGCCTCGGGGAAGGCTGAAACCCTCCCACCAGATGGTACAGATTGAATCCTTCTCTCTGGATTCCCCAACAGCCCCCTGGATTCCACCATCAAGAGTCCAAAACCACACACAACTTGTTCATCCACCTACCAGCTACTCTTCATGGCTCATTCAAATCCAAGTCCTTCAATCCCAACCAATGACCCACTTCCACCAAGGAGCCCTGTGGAGTCAGGTCTACTTCAGACAGAACTTTCTTCAAATGAGGCTGTAATTTACACACCATCCTGGGCGGGCATCAATGCTGCTTAGAAAGATGAACTCTTTCACGATCTCTTCTCTCCCAGTGACACCGGATGGAGGTTGCCTGAGTAAACTCTACGGTTGATGGCTTTCTGTCTACTTTGTCTCGGTGCAAATAGTGAATATGCTCAGCTGCTAACTGAATGGTTGACAGCCCACACAACTTCTAAGTGATCATATTTTTAAAACTGAAACCATGTAACTCAAACCAAAGACATTTTTTACAGTGTTCTGACAGACATAACTTTCAGGATTCATTCCCTTGTTTTTAATGCTTCTACAGATTTCAATGAACAAAAGCGACTTGTTTCTGAAAGTGAAATGCCGTATGCTATGAAAAGCATATACGTGGACTTTCTGAAGGATTGTAAAATTGTATTTGTATCTCACTATCATCAAGAAACAGGAGAATTGGAGGTTTCAAACCTTTAAAAAAAAGTCATTTGCTAACCAAAACAATAGATCACTTTTTATTTTCCTTTTTGCGCAACAGTTGTAAAAACATGCAGTATTCTAACTTGTTAAAAATTACGGAAATTTTATCATCAATATGATACTAAGAGATGTTATTCAGTCTAAGTTAAATAGCATTCTCAGCTGAGTAATTAGTGGTTTTCTAATATCTAAAAACTCATTATTTACTATACAAATTTTACGTGGCACCTGGCTGGTGATGTACTTCTGAACAGCCCATCACTGAAAACCCTGTGAGCACAGTTCTACTCTGGCACACGTTGGGTTGCCAGGGGTAGAGTTGACTTGGTGTTCACTGGCTTTTGCCTTGCCTGACACCTGACACAATTCTTAATGCAAGACAGGAAGTACATAGATGATCAGTATAAACTTTTATATGAAAAAAAGTCATTTTCTATGACACCAGGGGACTCTGCTGTAAAGAAATACATGCTGACAACATTTTAAAAAACTCAGCTGCCTTACTTGGCTTTCAAGAATTCTTTGATGTGGGTACACCTAAACATTTCCAAGTCATGCAACTGAGGGTGAAGATTTTCCCGCAGAAACATGTGATTTTATTTTCCTCCTAAAGGAAATATGATGTTCTTTAAACCAAACACATTTCTGAACCAAGCTTTCTAGGAAGCAAGCCACTCACCTGTAATAACAGAGCCATCGGAGCCTGGGCCGCTTCCTAAATACTGATAATCTGTGAAACTAAAGCTCCCGGAGCAATCCTCACCAATGCACTGTGAAATCTCCTGAACATTGCCAATTTCCTGTAGGAATTCGTCAGACAGCGGACTCTCCAAGTCATCAGCCTCGAGTGGGGACAGAGGGCAAATGGGGCTTTCTGTGTCCACCATCTTGATTAGACAGCGCTGGTCACACCACTGAACGCCAGTCTGTGGGTGGAAAAGAAAGGAGAGCTCAACTGACAAATGGGGACATGACTTCAGTTCAATTCAAACCGTGTCAACTGCCGAAGACGGGGTTGAATTCATGATCTAAGGAGCAACGCTGTTTTTCTCTGCCTGACTCTTGGCAAGTACACTGAAAAAACAGAATCCTGAAGCCACTCAGTATTTCAGGAGCCTAAGTCACCTGTTTGTTTCTGAGGACCTTCTTTGTGTTGTTCCAGGCAACAGCAGGGGACCCTTTCCGATGGGGAGACAGACGGGACTGGTGTGCAGTGTCTGAGGTGATGAGAAGGGGTGGGGAGTGGGACACGAGGCAGGGTGATGGGAGATGTCCTGGGAAAGAATGTGCAGGAGAAACGAGAAGCATTACCACGGCCTGAGGTAGGAGCACATGGATGAGGAGACCACTGAGGCTCGGATGTCGAGGTACAGGGAGATCCAGTGAGCCTGCACACGGGGTGCGAAAGCCACTCTCATATGATCGTCTGTGCCCTTTGGTGCCACCCAACACCCACTGCCATCAAGTTGACTCCAACTGATAGCCACCCTATAAAATACTTACTGATGAAGGTCAAAGAGCACAGCCTTCACTATAGGTTGCATCTCAATGTAAAGAAAGCACAAATCCTCACCACTGGACCAATAAAGAACACCCACAAAAATGGAAAAAGATAGAAACTGTCAAAAACTTCATTCTGCTCAGCTCAATCATCAACACTCATGGAAGCAGCAGTCAAGAAATCAAACAACATGCTGCCTTAGGCAAATCTGCTGCACAAGACCTCTGTAACGTGTTCAAGAGCAAAGATGTCAGTCAGTTTGAGGACTAAGGTGCACCTGACCCAAGCCATGGTATTTTCAATACCTTCATAAGCATGCTAAAGTTGGACTGTGAATAAGGAAGACTAGAAGAATTGATGCTTTTGAGTTACGGCATTGGAAGAGAATAGTGAATACTGAAAGCACCATGGGCTGCCAAAGAACCAATAGATGTGTGTTTGGAAGAAGTGCAGCCAGAGTGCTCCTTGGGGGCCAGGATGGCCAAACTTCGTCTCTCATACTTCAGACATATTGTCAGGAGGGACCCGGAGAAGGATATCATGTTGGTAAAGTGGAGGGTCAGAGAAAAAGTGGAAGACCCCCAGCAAGATGGATTGGCACAGTGGTGGCAATGATGGGCTTAGGCACAGCAACAATTGTGAGGGTGGCCCAGGACTGGGCAGTGTTTTCTTCTGTTGTGCATCGGGTCGCTGTGAGTTGGTACTGACTTGACAGCAACTAGCAATAGGATAGAGTAGAACTGCCCCATGGGGTTTCCAAGGCTGACAATCTTTACAGAAGCAGCCGGCCTCATCTGTCTCTTGTAGAGTGTGGCTGGTGGGTTCAAACCCCTGTCTTTTCAGTTAGCAGCCCAATGAAAACCAACTACACCACCAAGACTCCTTGTGGCAATCACAGCATGTAGTTACTCCTGACGATTTCTGTCCAATACCAGAAAGATGGTTACCTGTGCTTTAGTGACTACACAAAGGCTTTCGAGTGTATGGATCATGACAAGCTATGGACAACATTGCCAAGTATGAGGATTCCGGAACACTTGATTGTGCTCATGAGGAATCGAATCTGTACATGGACCAAAAGGCAGTTGTTTAAACAGAACATGGGAACACTGAATGGCTTCAAATTAAGAAAGGTGTGCGACAGGGTCGTATTCTTTCCCCATACTTATTCCTGACAATTACTGTTCAGTAACAAACCCCTTCAGAGCCCTGGGTGCAGCGGTCAACAGAAAGGTGGGCGGTATGAGTGGAGCCGCAGCCCCTTGAGAGACAGATGGGGCAGTCTGCCCCTGTAAAGATAACAGTCCCGGACATCCCATGGGGCAGCTCTCCTCAAGGGTCACTATGGGCTGGAACGGACTGGCCAGCAGCAGGGCTGGTAAGAGTTTAACAATTTTTTGTGAAGTTAAAAAATTTACAGAGACAAGTCCCAGACAATGCTGGGCAGTTTCAATTGGCAAGCGAGGCACTCCCTCCACGCACAGAGGTTGGTCCTTGTCTTGCTTTTGCTCAAACACTTCTTACGACTTCCTGTGATGTCCCAACTCCACCTAGAGTCCTCAGACTCATGGTGACCCTCCACAACATGTTCCTAATCTGATCCCTCGGCTCCTAAGGGAGCCCAGCAAATCCGCATGATTGCATTTCTGGGCTCGGGCTCACCTGTCCTATGACCCTTCCCCATCTTTGACCATCTTGGGATCTTGCTCCTCATCCCTCAGCCTGGCTGAGCCACTAAACATGAGTTTCTTTTGTCACCTCATTCAAGGATTTGGAATGTGTCTACACTGTCCTTGTACTTCCCTGTTGCTTTGAAAGAATACTGTGTTGTTGGGAACTGTCGAGTCACTTTCAGCTCAGAGCGACCCCACACACAACAGAACGAAACTCCACCCGGTCCTGCGTCACCCTCAGAACTGTTAGGTTTGAGCCCACTGCTGCTGCCACTGTGCCAAGCCATCCCAATGGGGGTCTTCCTCTTTCCAGCTGATCCTCCACTTTATGTCCTTCTGCAGGGACTGGTCCCTCCAAGATACGTGAGACTTATGTGAAGAAACATCAGTCTCGGTGAGGAGTAAACATGATGAAATCCTTTGTAAAGTGGGGTCATCATAGCCTGTCCTCTGGCCAGAGAGATCGGCTTTCTCGTAAATCAGTGAACACACCAGTCCTTTCTGGTTCCCAATGAGGACAGATAAGCGGTGGCTTTGAACGTTTCCCCCAGCGACAGACAGCCAAGGCCACATGGGCATATCCTGTGACCTATGTGCCCTGGTGTCCCAGCACACGCTGGCCTCCCAGAGCAGACATGCTAGGGGAAATCCCGCCTCTCCGTTCCACACCCACATCATACAGCCAGTGCCCCATTCCCCGAGAAGAGCAAACCATGCAAGGTCGTTCCTGGCAGCGTCTTTCACTCCAAATCTGAGGACACTGAGAGTTCAGTAGCAGAATCTCACCTCCCACACAGGCAGGGAACCCGGGTTTGAGTCCCAGCCAATGTACTTCCTGAATAGCCACCACCTGACTGCTAGTGGACGGTTGTGTCTTGTTAGCTGACCTGGTTTCAGCAGAGCTTTCAGACTAAGATGGACTAAGGAGAAGGGTCTGGTGATCTACTTAAAACACCAGTCAACAGAAACCCTACGGATCAGAACCATGTCTGAAACCTGTAGTGTTTAATTCATTGTGTATGGGGTCACCAGGAGTTCGTGTCAACTAGATGACAGCTAGTGTTGTTAAGTGTCATCAAGTCGGTTCCGAACCAGAGCGACTCTGTATAGCGTTTCCGAGAAGCAGCTGGTGAGCCTGAACCGATGCCAGCTAACAGCAAGCAAAAACCCACACCAACCTGTTCCTATTGATTTGATTCCGGCTGGTATCGACCCGATGTTGTTGTGGTTAAGTGCCGTCGAGTTGGTTCCAACCCATAGCGACCCTGAATAGGACAGAGTAAAACTACCCCAAAGGGTTTCCCAGGTTGTAATCTTTACGGAAGCAGAACGCTGTTATCTTTCTCCCTCAGGGACGTTGGTAGGTTCAAACCATCGATCTCTCATTTAGCAGCTGAGCACTTAACCACCGCATAACCAGGTTTTCTTAACAGTGACAACAAGCTCCAAACGCTTTGAGGGAGGAGGGGGCACTTTTCTCCACAGCATCTAATCTGGTCAAGGCAGTGAAATAGAACAACTCAAGAAATAGGGTCCAAACAGCACCCCATCAGTCCCTGGCTTCAGAGCACAGACAAAACGTGCAAGAAGGTCAGCTCTGTCTTCCTCTGGCTTTACAAAGGGGAAGGAGAATCAATCCACCCAAGGCGGATTCCGATGAAGTACAGGTCAGACGTGCCCTATTCTGCCACCAAGCAGCTCTGCACTGCACTTCCTCCTTCAGGTCTGGGTTTCACAATCCATTGCAGTGACCACCCAGAACTCACAGCAATGGTCACAACTGTGAGGTTTATCAGGGACGTGAACAGCGTACGATTCACGTTTTCAGGATGAAAACCAGCTCAGGACACAGCCAGCCTCTAGTCAGGAATGCCTCCTGTCTGCGTACCCAAAGGCACGCCTCACTCTTGTCTCCCACCTCTCAGCTCTGTGGCCCCTCAGCCTAGTTCAGGCAAGTGTTACAAAGTTCCCCTAACCAGTCTGTGATTGCCCAAAGGGCACATTCTATAAGTCAGCCTCCTGCCCACAGGCATTTGGCTTTACTGGGCCCGTGGGCTGGAAAACCTGCAGCTGCCAAATCTCTCCATGCCGTCTTCTCTTCTGCCGTCGCTTTCCCAGGTGAAGATCTCACACTCCACTCATGGCTCTTCTGTCTTGATGGTCCTTGAACTGTTCCTGCTTCTGAGATGGCTCCTTTGAAACTTAGCAAGATGGCAAAACTAACCAATTCCAGCCTTAGAGTCCTATGCATCCTATTTTCATGGTCCTACCTAATCATTTTGTGGGAGTTAAGAAGACTTTGGATAGAAAAGCCATATCGAGTAAATCCACAGAGCGCCCCCTGTGTTCAGAGGTGGAAAGAACAACGGAGAGACAAGGAAAGAGAGGCTGCCCAGGCTAGCTCTGGTAATGATTTGATTTTCTGCACAAGCTTCTGATTCTGTACGTTACCTGATCCCTCAATCCATTTATACTTTCCCTTCCAATGCAAACAGTACACCTGAATTTGTCCATCGCCAACTCAAAGTAAAACTAGGTTGAAGTTCTATTTTTAGGTTTAGCAACATAATACTTTGAAAACCATGAAACACAGCACATATAACTGTGTTGTTGTTGTGAGGTGCCATTGAGTCGGTTCCAACTCCTAACGACCTTACGCCTAACGAAATGAAACACTGCAAAGTTCTGTGCCAACCACACTATTGCTACGTTT